CTGAAGGTGTCAAGTGTGGGAGTAAGCCGACCGTTAGGAGGTCGGCAGTTACTCATTTTTTGATGCGATAATAAACGTCGTTTGTAAATTGGTTCCGCCAAGGTGCGTCCCAGCCTTCGTTTAGACCTACGTCAGAGTCACTTAAGGCGGCATTCAAGTTACGCATCTGTACATTCGTCGGTATGCTTGCTGCTTCAGCTGCTTTAATATTTGAGCTGTTCAAAGCGTTTGCATCCTTTAATATGATTACCGTTTTGTTATTGATACCTCCTATCTGGGTTTGTCAAAGGCAATCGACTGTCTGGATCACTGCATTCAACTTCACATGCTTTAGGATTATTTATCGGTAATCCAGATCTCAGCTGGATATTTAAATTTCTCGCTCAACGACATTTGAATGTTAGGGCTCGCAGTGCGCAATCTGATCCATTGGAAGTCAAGTGCGGCGTACCACAGGGCTCATTACTCGGGCTGCACATGTTCCTGTTATCAGACATAGCCTCGCTAGCGTGCAATTTTCAAATTTCCCGATATTCGCCGATGGTCTAAAGATATGATTACTGCAGTGAAGAATCACACAGCCCCAACATTATATGGATAATGCATAAATGTGGTCCATGGCGAACACGTCACCATTTCGACGCCGAAACTTGCGAATATATGAGCATACGACCTCGGAGTAATCACGACTACCAGCTGCGGCCCAAAGTATTCAGCGAGCTTTTCATGAGTGCGACCTCGGCATGCTTGTGTAACATGACCATGTTTGTTTGAGTTAGACCTAAAAAGCATCAATGGAATAAATCATAATTGCGCTTCATTCGAATTGCATTTTGTTAGTACAACAATGGAATAATGATGTATATCTTGTAAGAAACTGCTATTTGCCAAGTCGCACGATGACCAAAATAAGAAGCACAAAATGGTGAATAGAAAATGGAGTAGTAAAATGAAGATCCTCTTAGTAGGCTCACTGCAGAGTTCAGACAGAAGCATGCAGAATTGAGCCAATCTTGATTGTGTAGTTTAGCGCTGGTTACGCAACGTTCGTCACTTAGTGCAGTCTGTTGATGTACCTAGGCAAATCTAATCACCTAGGTAGTATACGAATAGTCATGGCGTATTTTCTAAGCAAAAGTAATGTATTTGCGGAAACAATTTAATTTGGGAGGGCGTTCTATGGCTGGCACACACGAGGAGAGTAAAAGTCTCGTCCACCTTCTAGCCGACTGTACTGCATGGTCAACCTGAAATTGTGGCACACAAATTCTTTTTAGAACTAATCTATAGTAGATCGCAAAATATGTGGTTATGTTTTTCAGAATATGCAAGGTCGTTTTTATTTCGTCAAGTAGATGTGTATGCTGCCGCTGTACACTCTTAGATTCGTCAGGCTAAGTTGCTATGGAAGGTGGAACAACCCGTTGAGGCGTTCGGTCTCCCTGGACTGTGGAATCTCGAACACTGCGAGATTTTGTCGTGCCACGGCTGCCTGGGATGGAATGCGTATTCCACAAGAGGCATCACGTATGTCTTAAAATAGTGCGACCAGACAGATTGTCCACAATGCTCGCATGCCCTGTGAAACATGCCAGCCTACTATTTTCTAGTATTTGACCTCTTCCCTGATTGCTATGAGTAGCTCAGTTTAGCTTGGATTAATATATCAAGGTCGTTTTTCTAGATAAGTGCTTGCAGTTTATAGCCTCCGAGCTTTGTACGTTAATCGGCAGGTGACAAACGTGAGTCAAGTTACTCTTGGACAATTTATACTGGAGCAGATCTTGAAATGACAGTTCATGCGTCCTGTCCAAGTCTAGTTGAAGTGCATCGTTATTTCCCTGGTTGGTGATCCCCCACCACCTCTTAACATCATCATGGAAAATCACAAAGTCTGAGAATATGGAACACGAAAATCTGGTAATGAACACGAGAAACAGGTTTGGCCCCAGAAATGGCAATCTGAACTCCACATTCGATATGAACCATATCAAACAGCGCCCTACTAAGCGTACCCTGTAGTTGTTGATTCGACAGTTTCTGCTCCGCCCAAGCACAAGATTCTTTACTTGTTAGCTTTCTAGCCTGTGAAGCGAAATTTAGTTACCAGTCGGCCAAATGCTTTAGAGAAATCAAAGTAAATGACACAAATCTCTTTGCCTTTTTTGAATGCTTCAGTCCAACCAATACGTGTCATCAGTTGGTTGGTTGCATGAACGAAGTTCACTTGGATGTGCTGCTCCGGTGATTTTTGTTGCAAAAATGCATACATACTTTCTCTATAGATAGTTGCTCATCTATGGATGATAGACTAGATAGCCAGCGATGGTTCGCATATCCAACTTTGAGAGTACAGGAAGGAGGACCATTTGGTGATAGTTTGCAAGTTCCGAGAGTCTGTTACTTTTTGTAATTTTCTTGATCATACCTTGATTCCACAGGCGTTCATATAAGCAGTTTGGAATAAATGCGATAATGGCTCTGCTAGCTTTGCTCCTGCTACTTGCGGCGCGCTCGAGCAAATGTCTTTGAGTACAAGAGAACTCCAGGTGCGCAGTGAGAGCAATTTCTTCAGAGCGCATGTAGCAATGGAAGCGATGTTCGTAAGTACTGAAATCGGGGCTAAGGATGTGGGTATTAACCGTCCTGGTCGTCTTGTTGTAGGTCGCGGCATACTGCATACTTTGGGCGCTGGCTGTTTTACAGCACTCTGTTCCCAATAGACTGTTATGTTAAGTGGGGATACCGTACTTCACCAATGAGATTATGCCGACGTGCGTATACATAAGCTTCCTGTTTTGACAAACTTGCAAACCAACCTGTTTCGGTGAGTCACTTTGTACTCACAGAATAGTGTATTTTAATGACAGCACAGTGCCAAATATTCACTCCAGGCATCGGAACCAGGACGGGCTCTGTAGGCGTGCCAAGCTAAATAACTTATTGACACGCGTCTGCCGGTTCTGCTACAGATGAACGGCGATGCATTGGTAGAACGAACCCACTTCGTTTTTGAAGCAGTTAGGATCCGAATACTGAAGCGTTCAACAAAATAATTCCAGGCCTTGTCAGCGTATCCACCTTACAAAAATTTGCCAATCGATATTTGCGACTACTTCGGTCACGATACCTTGTGATCTGATACTATGTCCTGATTCCGTATGTTCCATTTAACGTAATACATATAGCTGCAAAATTTGAATAAATGATCGCTTATCCCTATGGTACAGTTTAATAATGGCCTTTCGATTCTGATTTCCTCATCTATGAGTTTGCGCACTAGTTCTGCTAATTTGTTATATGCTCTATAGCTCAAGAATGATGTGATGTGATTGGACAGTGAAGTAGTTTTTTCTTATGATCTTGCAGTTTGGCTATTATTATTTCGTTGTCGGATTTTAGGTCGAATACTTTAAAATGGCCCAAAGTAAGAATGTATATATAGCCTAGAAATAAGCCATTTGTCAATTTTTATATTTTACGGGAATCCATTTATGGAGTGGACTATGAGGCTAGAAAGACTGCCATGAAGCGGTTGTCATTGTATCGGTGACCAGTGTCTCCTGTTCAAACAATGGCAAGTCAATTGTAAGTCGCTGAAATATTAAGATGCTACACCAGCATGCCTGTTGGGACGAACGCTTCGTAGCATTGACATTTCCTGAATAGCGACCTCAGTATCCGTCACATCTGAGTTCAACCAAGGTTTAGATTTGGGGATGAGATCCCAAGAGTTGGTTACTCGGCTCAATCTAAGCTTAGGAATTTTGTCGGAAATATTTGATGTGCACGAATTACCACATACAGAATACGCTATCTAAGCGTGTCATCCTCTGGAAGAGTCTCAACCTCACAGCACTAGTTACTGTACAACGCAAGGCGACGAAGAACGCCAAAGGTATTTCCCACCGTCCCTATCAACATCTGAAGACACTAAAAGTGTACGGTGGATGTTATCGATGTATACGAGGGGACCCCATAATATTGTCTTATATTTGGAAAACGCCCAACCACACACACAAATATCTCTTGTATATCAGTCAAGGCGCATTACTGTGGAGCTCCCAATAAAATTTGTCCACATCGTAAAGCCGAATTGAATGTCGCAGAAACATTTTCGCTTCCCGAGGATACACTCCGGAACGCCCTTGCGGCGTATGTAATTAATGCATCCAGTTATCTCTTTTCTAACATCGTTTCCACGACACACGGAAGCGTTCACACTACTTACTATAGCCCGTGAGCGTCAGATGATGTCGTAAGTGTAAAATATTGTGGATCGGATAATAATCCTCCTAAATTTATGCAGAAATTGTCGCAACTTTGCTAAGACAAACTTGTTATGTCACTTATCTTGCGCGTTATTTTTACTTCCTCTTCCTAATTTTTAATTTCACCCTGGACATACAACATGACATATCGAGCACTTAATTTTATACCGGCCAAAATACATTACTCTAACGGCCCCTTACTCTTGCTGATAAAATGGTAAATTCATTTACTTGAAAACGGTAGTGAACTTCACGATAAGAAAAGACGGTTCAAATGTTCTAACATTCCTGAGTTTCTTTGCATTATACTGTACGACACGAGAGAACAGTTGTATGTATATCACGAATATAACATCGCGGAGTAACGTTGCTGCTTAATTAAGACGAATGCGTAGAACTTGACTACTCCTGGTCAAATAAACTTAGGAACTTGTTGATAGCATTTAGTTTGAATGGGTACCATCTCAGATATGCCGTTATTCGACTGCTTATTCATATAAACAAGCACCTTTTCATGCAAACTCGTCAAGCTAAGAATTTTACAAAGCAGTAACACTGAATACGATATATATATATAACATTAAATGATCGCCACTATTATCCCACAGCAGTAATTGTAGTTGTCTTTACAAAATTGAGCAGTCGTCTACCCATTGTTTTTCTCTTTAGTAATCTTGGAGCGCATTCCATATAAACCTCCTATTTCTCACTTATTTCATTTTTACACAGGAATTTATGATTTGATAATATCAGATGTAAGGCTAGAAGATGAAGCGAACTTGATCTGCCAAGCTACCGTCAAACTCTACAAAGCATCTGGTGAAACGGTGATTGATACGCTCACCAGTGCAGTAACCCACTTAAATATACTGGGTAAGTGAATTTATATCATAGACATAAAGCATTTCAGAGAAAACTTATACTATTTGTCTTTCCTGAATATACCGAAAAATGCTTGCAAGGCGTCCTTTTTCTTTGCGGTTTGCAGTAGTTATATGGTTGTTGTAAGATATATGAAAAACTAAATTGGCTGTTTTCATAATCTGCACTGTTTGGACGACGCGTCGTATATATTTGAACCAAAGTGATTTGAAAGTGTTTTGACATGTGACGGTCATTCCTCGCCCTATACAGCATACAAATTATCTGAATTTCTTATTACCTTTTGCACATAAGCTTAGATTTGACAAAATTTCAATTCACAGTTGCTCGTTTAATCTTTCAATATTTGGTCCCTAGCATAAAACGCGTAAACTTACTCGTTGCAGCTTTCTCGTAGTTATGGGCAGGACATTTTTCTTCAGGGGTCCATTTATGCAAAATAGCTAACCAAACTAGCGCAATTATTTTCAAACCTAGAAACCATAACTACATTGAAAGTAATCAGTAGTCATCTAAAAATCAGTAATAATCATCCTTTGGTTAAAATTACATCTGGCATGAAGGAAATCCCACCGATGCGAAATATTTTAAGCGGCATCAGAGCTTGATTGATGGGATTCAAAAAGAAGTATTCGGCTAGTGATGTACAGGATATTACCTGACAAACATTTACTCTGGCAGACGATGTGACGAAAATAATAGTATTATTTTAAGCAGCTTTGTCTGCTTAGAATACAAGATGGCACATTCATTCAAGACGGCGGCAGTTTTATCGTGGCACGTACCGTAGATTATTTTAGCCTAAATGCATGAAAGATTAATGCGACTCTTTATATCCATCCTACTGATCTAGTCTGTCACGATATATTAGTGTGCAAACGTGATTTAACAAAACTTTCTAAATGGGACCATAGGTTGATAAATAAATTTTTACACGGTCTCTGGAATGTGCGAATATTCTTTATCTCACAACAACGGGTAGTCCAATAGGAAGTTAGTGCGCCTCAACTTTCTGACTTGTTTTGTGGCTTCAAGAACTTCTGAGTGAAGATTTAGCACAACACACACTGGCTGGTTTTGTGAGTATGTTGATGCTAGATCTATTGTATATGCAATAACGCATGTGGCCGTAGTTGCCGCGATACACATAGACTTTGAATCTGAAGTTTGAGTGCGCAGCTAACCATTGTCCACATCTTCCAAGGTGTGTTAAAGCGAATTAAATCTTTGACACGACGTCAGAAATGATCAGCTTCGTTGCACAAATTATTGACCGCTCAATCTTTTTCCATCAATGGAACATGATTCGGTGCATATATACGTCGGTAAACAGCTGTCATAGTTTAATGAATATGAGGTAGTTGCTGGTAAACACATTGTTTTACCTCGTGAACAACCTCAAAATTAAATCGATTACCAGGGCCAGCAAATCTAACAGGAATGATGACTTAATTCTTGAAATTAGATATTTTACCTCGACTTCTGGACGTTGCTGTTTTTAAAAATTGCCTCTTTACCTATGCTAGCATGCGGAATTTAAAAAAGAAAACTATTGAAAGTTTACTTAGGTCATTCGCCGAAAGTGCACTCTTAACCATCGCTAGAGTTGCAAGCAGCTTCACATCTTGACTTTATTTCTGCTACCTTTCAAGCAAAACTTGTTACTACCTCACAATGTGTTCTACCAGAAAACATACTCTTACCTAACAATCCTCGGGATAGATTAGGGGCATCCGTATCCGTAACACAAAATTACACTACTGATACCACGGGCCACAATACCGTCCGTTCCAAGTTTTTCCGCATAAGGTACACCGTCATGTGAAATAGTTTACCAACCACAATCAGGGCCTGTGAAAACCCTATGTCGATCCCCAAATATTCCGACCGATTCTTAGATGTAGAAATGCCAGTATCTATGATCTTATTCGAGAAATCGCCTCATGAGATATTCCACAATTGTTACAAAAAGCTGAAAAGCTAAAAATTAGCGTTAACATACATTCATGCAGGAGCATAACTAATTCTGTACCTACTGATCTGCTACTAATTAATAACAGTTTCCCACAATTTGCGAAATATACATACTTGTAGATATTAGCAAATCAGCTTTAACTATCACTCAATTTGGCAGTTGCACCTGTTTTGCCTCTATGCATGACTTTGAGGCAGGTTATGAATATGTAAAACTCTCTCCGTCTCAATATATCAAAGTGTAGACTACTGCGTCTCTAGTTCCAGCCAAGACTTTTATATAAGCAGCCTGACCGCCATCTACAGAGGTGCTATCATTGAAAAGACCTCATTTGCTCGAAAAATTTCGAGGAGGAAGTAAATACACGAGAATTTCACATACAGTAGCCGAATTCGCCGATTCCCTGGTTCCTATACACATCCCGTTGAATATGTGTTTCAGGGTGATTGCGTGGTCGAACCTAGATGCCGCAAATGTCACCCGAAGCCGCAAAATATAATGAGGTTACTATAGTTTCTTGGAGAAGGATATGTGCGTTTTCCTGATGAACCATGATAATGCGTGCAAGTTGTGTCAATCTGGAACTAGAAATATTAGAAAGCGACGTGTCAAGCTTTTCAAAATGTTACTAAAATACAACAAATTAGAACTCTGTCGGAATTCTTCAGGGCATCCACCTCAAAATTAGGTGTTGTCGAAGACCGAATCGAGTTGGTCCTTGCTTCTTTTGAAAAGATATTACTACCGGCACAAAAAGCAGAAGGCAGATACGCACACACAGGCTTGTCGTGGTCGACCGCTTCACGAACTGCACGGTTGCCTATTTCTGTATTTCATTTTAATTTGTCTGTCACATGGCTAAGACTGTGATATTGACTGCAACTCTCTTATTTGATTCATTTTAATTATACTCGTTTAAATTAGAGTGATGTGCACTGATATCCTTAAGTTCCTTTTTAAATTATAGTTCCACCGACAGGAATATCAATGAAGAAAGCTGAAAGCTTTGATAAAAATCTTCATGACAGCGCGTGGCTTTCTCCAAAAGTCAAGGTTGTCAATCAGCAATACGTTAAATTATCCACTACACCTCAATCTCCTACACATACGCTCCTCAGCGGGACAGGTCATGTTGTGGCGGATGATCCAACCATTGAATTAACTCGTCAAGGTACGAATTCTTTAATCTCCACTTACACACCAAAACCAGACCAATTTCTTAATCCAAAGGAACTTATCAATAAGGGACAGAACGCTGACGTGAAGGGTGATGCGGAAACTGTTCCAACCATTTGGATCAAGGAACACGATACGCTTGTAATGGCTTGCTATACAACGCCATCTAAACCTGCCCCGAAAATAACATGGACACTAGCAGGTCGCCCACTAGAAGTCGCAAGTTATAATAGCCAGACTGGCTCAGGTACATATTTTGGACTAGAAAACCAGCCAGATGCATTGGCCAGTCAACTGGAAGGGGATCAAGAGGTGCGAATTAGTGAAACATACATTTTCGCCCCGATGAAAAACACAGAGCAGTCTTCCACCGCACAACGCGATAACTCAAAAGACGAGTGGGGTGATGTTGGGAACAATACGGATGTGCATACAGATACGTGAGTGCGTTCGCTTGTTTGATATATTTCGGGGAATTTTCATGTCTAAAGTTCAGACAACCGTACTGGTGTGAGTTTTTCTACCCAACAGCCTGAGACATAGATTAATTTGATTCTCCACTGCCACCTGCAGCCAGCTAGAAGAGAGTTCAGCAGAATATTGTAACTTCTGCCTCATTCACAGTGTGTTAAAATTCACTGCAGGGGAAATGTTTACAACGGAGCTGCAGATTTGACAATTTATGTTAGGCTTCATGGAGAGCGGTTCGTAAAATCTCAGTATCAGAGAAATGCGTAATTTTTTACAAATAATACAGACTCGCAACTGTTTTGCATCTAGATTTGCAGAACAAGTTGTAAGGGGTATGGAGAAACTAGAATAAACTTTAATCGTATCAAGACCAGAAATCGCGACGTGAAACAGGCTAGGAAATTACGTGGGGTTGGAGGTTTCCTAGGAAATTACGCGTCGGTGTGTTTGTGACGTTGTTTAAATTTCTAATAGGTAGCTTAACAATAAAAATATATATATAAGCAAAATGTAACATAAGTGCTTTCCTTAAAAACAACACAGTTTAGAATGGCGCTTTGGGACCTACCTTACAATAGACGGAGGGAAAAATTTTTTTCTTTTTAATCGCAAATAAACCTCTTATTGATAGACACAAGTAGATTACGTTGTAGTTGTGTGACGCTTGTTTCAATGATAGCTCTAGGTTTACCTTAGCACTCAGAAGAATTGCAAACATTCGTTTGTGTAAAAAGATGGTGATCAGAAATGATGGTTAAATTTATGAACGTTACCTTGAACTTACCACTAAACGGTTACAGTTTTTGCCGATGGCACTGCGGGCCTCAATAACAATGTTTGCTCTACATTAGCATATGTATTTGAGTGATTAAATTTCAGGGACTGATAGTAATATAAATTTAAGACAGCAGTTTAGAAAACTGGACTTCTGCTCATGTTTACGGCTTTATGGGCTATGACACGGCGGTACAAATTTGTTGGAAAATATTAGGTTATGTAATTGCAGCGCTCAAATGTTAAACAACTGGGCAACTTTATAAAGCGAATTTATATTTTCACCTTGCCATTTGCAGTTTGAATGTATCAACATGCAACGTGCTGTAGGAACAAAGCTGTTTACACTTTGACCTTAACTTTGTTGACTGATGGAAAAGATATTTGATGGAAATATTTAACTACCTGCTTCGAGTGCGACATAGATGCGTTTCTGCGGTAACCCTAACCAAAAGGACATGAAAGCGTGAGCTCGACGTGTCATCACTTAGTTGATTACCTTAACAGCTTGTTAGACACATGTCGACTTATAAATATGGACTGAGAAACTACAGTGGTAAGTTCCCCGATCAGTAAGCTAAATTTCAACCTCACGATTGTTTTTCTAAATAGTGGTACTTCCGAATCTGTCCAACATACATAGTTTGCCTGGCAAGACTGAAATTTATTAAGGACTTGATATGTTTTCGGGATTCGACAAGCCTAGTCGTTATGTTGTCTTCCAAACTTGCATACTAGTGAGCTATTGTAATATGGAATGTAATGCTATTTCATTGACAGGGCCTAACATGATCTAATATATAACATGCAAAACCAATGAATGTTCGCCATAAGGTATGTATGGATGGAACAATTAGATAAAAATATGTGTTCCTTTCGACGTATGCTTTTACATAGGATGCACAGAGCACTGATAATTCAACTAATATAACTCAGTATTTAACTAACCATTGCGTCAATTTAATTTGTAGTGACCTTAATGGTGACGTGAATTAAATTCCGCTAATAGTTTTGCTTATCTAGAAATTACACAATTTTCAAAATACTGGAACAGACAAGTCTTACATATCTTAAGACACACAACTTTCGTATTCGTCAAGCAAAATCAACTCAGATGAAAGTGACCTGCGAAATTTAGCTGTATCAAGACTAATCTAAAATGCATTATGCATTGAGTTTATTGAGCCTACCAGAATATTCACTGTTCATTGCTCAACACGTATAATTGCATTATGCAAGAATCGATACTTATTGGAAATTTTCATATCGTCAGTGACATGAGAAACAGCCAAGAAACTCTGACCGAATCACAAGGGACCTAGAAAATTTGAACTCTATAAGATTAAATGTGATTCATTTTTCTGCTGATTATTTTGCGATCGATACCGTTTTCCTAGACGAATCTTTTAGGAAGGTTTAGGCGGTGTGCTACATAAAGCAGGGAAAGTCACTATTGTTCGGAGGGTTAAGAAATTTTGTGCCTATTAATAAATGTGTAATTAAAACTATTCAAGCAACTAAAGATAACAGCAGTTATAAAAATACAGAAACATGTAAAGTAAACCAATCTTTAACAAAATACTGTTAAAATACGCGTGGAAGGGAAAAACAGCTAAACGCGCGCATTTTGTATTGTCCTTGAGTAGCATTAACATTGACCGATCCGTCTAGACACACTTAATATCGGCTGAGACCAGACATGCTTAAGTTGCAGTGTGACAGATGGAACTACACCCATACGTCCGTGGCAGTCTTAAGCGGAGAAACAATTATATTTCGGCAGAATGGATACATACACACGCAAGCACACCGTCTTGCAGCTCAGGCAGAATATGCGGTGAAGTAACCTCAATGATTAAAAATTCCGCACCGAAAAATATCCGTGATACAGTCCGGTTGAATTACGGCATAGTCAGCTTAAAGTGCAACATGTAATGCTTACGTGGGGAGATAACTTTTCTGTCGAAAAGCATATTCAAGGGTCTCTATTCTCGCTCAGTTTTACTACTGTTGCGCTAAAACAAAAATAATTGTAACGACTAAAAATTATCCCAGGAGAAGATGTCATAAAAAATGTTAGCGAAAAATCTCGCATTAAATGTCCTCATATAAAACAAATACATCAGGAATCAGTGATATACATGTAACCATCAAATAAGGATAAATGATCAAAAGCCCAGATAAACAGAGTGAACAAGCTAGCAGATCGACCCCACGGCGAACAAGTGTGTTTGTGTGCCTGTGTGGTGCCATCTATAATAGGTATCAGTGTTTCATTACAAAAGGATAAGGTGTGCCCTGAGTAAATTAATTATGCACACATAAATCGGTGTCATGAAGCTTAATGGCGATTGCCTCAGCCGCTGCCAGTAGACGACCTCTAACCGCTCTTGCGTGGCATCCGGTACCAGGTCGATGGGCTGGGACTCCTAATACATTCTGACTAGGTGGTTCAAAGAGACCAGGTGTGCTGACAGCGCTTGCCAATGCTCTATAGCATTTCTGAGTCAAGTTAGTTAATAGTGGAAAAAAATTGGTTCGTAAGCATATTCATTTTGGTTCGTAAGCATTTTCAACTAGGTTCATAAGCATTTTCAAGTTGGTGCGTTTCCAAGTTTGGCTAAGTTGCACCCACGCACCGACGAGTAGCTTCCTCATTGGTAAGACACCGTCGGCCAACAGGATGCCGTGTGTCACTATAGAGCAAGTGTTCTCAAACTTTCCCTTCCAATGCTCTATAGCAATTTCTGTAGTCAAGTTTAGTTAATAGTGGAATAAAAGATTGGTCTTGAACACGTATTCATTTTGTTCGTATAGCATTTGTCAACTGAGTTTTTTGCATAGCATTTTCGTAGTTGGTGCTTTCCTAGTTTGGCTATAGTTGCACCACGCACGCGACGAGTAGCTTTTACTCAATTGGTAAGACACTCGCGCACGGATGGCCGTGTGTCCCTTATAGAGGTCTTAAGTGTTCTGCTAAACTTCCTGGTCACGTGCGACCCTTCTTGTAGTGTACCGTAGCTTACGACGGCCGCTAGCTGACTTTCCCTCATCACAGAACTTAGGGTTTTAATAACATAAGAATGAGCCGGGAGTTCTATCGTTGTACACTGAATTGCACGTGTATCGATTTATGTTGCTAAAAGTGAATGTGATGAAGTTACCTGGAATATGACAACTATATTAAGGCTTAATATTCGACCTCTTAACAGATGCCGCGCAAGAGCGGTTAGAGGTCGTCTACTGGCGGCGGCTGAGGCAATCGCCATTAAGCTTCATGACACCGATTTATATGTGCTCAAATAATTTTTCCGGGCGCACCCGCTTTCCGGGTTCACTGAAACACTAATACAGTGTGGATGACACCATTCGCACACGCACACACACACACAAACACACACACGCACACACAAAACACTCCTGATCGCCGTGGGGCCGATCAGCTTGCTTGGTCACTCTGACTATCTTGGCTTTTGTCATGTATCCTTATTTGATGTTTACATTCATGTCACTTATTTTTGTTTTTTTTAGCCTGATGGGAATCTATTGAATTTTTTTCAACGCACAGCCATGGCTTTATCCTTCGACCGCGTCCTGAAACTGTAGGAAGCCTGGATTAACAAAACGCAGCTCAAATCTAAATGCTGAGCCCTGCTCTTTCCGGTGACCCAAGTCAAATAAATTTTACCTATAGAGAAAGCAAGCTGAATTCGCGAGCACCGTGCTTGAGGCGGGTAGATATTGTAAGCGATTTCCTTCTGAACGGCTCTCGTCACATTTTCCGTTATTGTTGAATATAGATTTCATGTTTTCTGCCCTAAGTAACTGCTTACGCATTCACAAACGAAACGGTATACATAGTTTGATTTAGCTCAGACTTTCATGAACTTCCATCGCTGAAGATTTTGGCAAACTTGGTTTTCGATTTATTACAACAACTTGAGCAGCATAGCAAATTCCCTGTGTAGCCGCTATTATTCTCCTGACCATACTTATTATGGCAGAATCACATCAGAAATGTCAAATTGTCATCAACCTTCTTGGCTACCAAGTCTTTCGGCCTTCGTTGCTGGCTATGTTTCTTGATAAATCTTCTAGAATACCCGTTCGTTACCAGTTTTTGTAATTAAGGCTAAGTCATCGGCCATATCGTCAGACGAGAGAATTGGTCTGGCCAGGCTAACTAGGATCTTCATAGTTGCCAGCTTGTACCGCACTGGGTAAGGTACTAGCCGGACCAAGTTGATTTTCAATAAACGTAACTCTTACTCAATCCATCCTCCATGCGACTGATAAGGAGGTCCAAATTTGATAGGAAAATATTCCGTTCTGCTTAGCAGATAACCCGTAATATCGCACGTGGCAGTTAAGTTGCTCTACAAACTGTGCGAGCTGCTGTTTTGACGAACAAAAAGGCAAAATATCATCAACATTAGAGCATCAGGGTTATTTCCGTCAAAATGCTTCTTTCTACTATCAACCTGAATCCGCGAGTACATGGTCCTAATAGACTACTCATTGCTACGCCGTCAATTTGGCGATAAGGCGTCTTCTGTAAATGGAAGCCAACTTTCGCCATGCTCAATAACATTGACTCCCTCAACAATTCCGTCTGACATGCGTAGTCAACCGTCTGGTTTAGTAGTTCGTTGATAAATAATGAAACTACATCACGAAACACATGACTATGTCTGACAGGCTTATATTATCCAGGTAACCAATTAGTTGAAATGTGTCCTTACGACTAGATGGACTGTGTCTTTTCCTCGGCGGTGTAAGCACTTTCACTAGCCAAGGAGCCAATTTATGTTGTAATGCGTAGATAATTGGAATAATCGGCCTCAGTTGTACCATTCCTAAGGATCTTCGGTGAACCATGTATTTGTAGAGTAGTGCTACCAATTGGCTTTAAAATATTTAATGGTCACAATCTATTACAAGATAAAGAATGAGCAATTCAAGGTGATGAATTGTGCGTGTTTCGACATTGGTTTCGTCCCTTATTCCCTGAGTCATTTGGATTTATTCGCATCGTTGTGTACGAGGCCCTTTTCATGATCATCACTGCACAACAATTATCTGGTTTCCTCATGACTACATCCTTAGCTCCTAGTTCACGTAAAGCTCGAAAATATGGAGCTTTAAAAGCACATTTTCACTAACACTGTTTTAACGTCTTGAGTGAACTCGGTTAACTTGTTTCTGAGCCAGCTAACCTGATCAGGACTGACTGGCTTAAGATGCTTAAAGTGATCAACAAAGTTCTCAAATTAGGCTACTACGAACCATCCGTACAAATCACTATGATGTACTTGGTAATCAAGTAAATGATAAAGCATTTAATTTTAATGCTTCCTTCGGTTTAATGCGGTCATCGCAATAAGCTGGATGAAGCCAGCTCTGTGCGTTTCAATACAATTATTCGGAAGCTCCAGACAGACATGGACATAGCAGTAAACTTCCGTCACACTCTGCACTTCAAGCATATCTGGTCACCCCCAAGTTTAGCTATATCTAGGAATTTCGGTTAATCTAATTGTACTCAAGAGACAATAAAGGATAAATGCAACTAGCTTTTTTCGTGTTATTTCCAAGCTATTCAAAAGAAACATTGTCTAAAGATGAAACCCTTATTTCAATTCGAATGATCTGAGAGCTTCAGACAGTGGCAAAATAAGACAAATAAGACAAAAATGTACATAATTCAGGTGGTGCAATTATCAATAATGCATACTGTTAGTAGATCCACGCCTTCATGGCACTCATGTATTGTAGCTAGATCTAAAAGTGGGTCGCAGGTAAGGTTAGTTTATCTGAACCACTAATGTGGACAGTTTTTCCGTAGGCCACCTGTGAGTCTTCAAACTGGAGGAGAACCAAGTAGAAGCAACGCACGGGAATGAAAGTCAAGGGTTAGTCTCATATAACCAAGTTATTGTTTTGCTTATGAATATTAAGCCGCCGGTGGGACGTCAATCCTAGTAGCACCAAGGATCAACCTATATACACGGAAAATATAAGAGACCGGTCTCATTCATAAAAACTATCGATGTGCTTATGTTTCATTGGATATCTGTGACTCATCAATTCTATTAATATATAAGAATATAAAAGCAACTCTATTAAGCAAAATGAGTACATTCCCAGATTTATGTTACACTAACATTATGCGTAGTCATAATTGAACGCTTCTCCTATGATCCACCATGCATACATATGATACGTATAACACTATTCGGATGAACTTGCGTTTCAACCAGCAAAAGCAGATGATAACCTGAATTATCTTGTTGACTACTTTTACTTACCATTTCAGCGTCCTAGTGCTTGGTTAAGACGCTGTAAGTAGACCGTTTGCAGCATTTATTTGTTGTGTGATCCACACCGGATGCACCTATTTTGCCTATTCCTGGTGTTTTCTTCCTCGAAACTCTATTGAGCACAGCGCTGCATCAACCGCCATTCGACTGCTAACTGAAATTATCCACCCAACATCCTAAATGCAGATTGAATTCGTAAAACGAATTCATGTTTGCCAATAAATTTAATGCCAGATTAAAACGATAGAAGTATTTTGGAATATTTTTGTCTATTAGTATTGATTCCGACTTTAATATTTCGAGGTAAACGCAATATTCATTAATCTATTTGACTTCTGTTGCAACTAGTCCCTTTCCTACCACGCTTTGCTAATACCATATATTTCTTTAACCCAACAATTAGACAAGTAACAATCAGCACATTACGGCTGATCGTTGGTCGACATCATCGGGGAAAGCCTTTGGAATGTAGTATTGAAAATGCGGCGGAGTACGGCATCCCGAATTTACCGACAGTCGGAGTTATCCTGGAGGCGATATGTGAGAAACATTTGTAAACTTGTCAATTTTGAGGGGTTATCCTTTTCTAACATGAAAAATTATGAAGTAATTGTGGTGTATAAAGTTAAGACTGTAAAATAACTATTTCTGTATACCCATATAGGTTGTTCTTTGTTGGACAACAAAATTATATAACAGTAATATTAATTTGTATGCCAAATAGGTTTTGCCATTTCTACAAGGCATCAAACATTTGAAAACAACGAGTACATAAAGCGCACCTGCTCGACAAGATCGAACTAATACACCGGTTCCCAACTGCACAAGCCTATAACGCTTAAATTGAAAATCGAAATAAACACAATGATGAGCTATTTCCATTAATCTGCTATGTCATATTAGATTGCATGTTCGATTGGCCATTTGTTCGATAATTAAAAATTCTGAAATTCCCAAAGCTGATAAGTATAAACCATGTTCAAACATTACAAGGAAATGTATAAAGATAATACGTTGACAGCATTTAAAACGTTGTAGAAATTGCCATTCTCTAAGGGATGCTTTCGCAAGCCATGGGAAATTTAAGTGGATGAATTATCTACATTACAGTACCTATTATTTGCCTAGGACTACAAGTCAATAATGATTAGATTATTTCCTATTTCTTCGTAAAGAATGTAGAGCCAGTTAGAATGTGTTGGTGTCAAGAGTTGACCGAGGGAAAACATGGAATTCCATTTGCGGATTCGCACTCCTCTGGTGGATGTGGATGAATCGTCACTCAAAGTGTGTTTTGAGCTATCCACCGGAAATTTCAAAACTGCTGGATGATGGCGGTTAACGTTTGTCCCATTCTTTCATATTTATTAAATAATTATTTTTTAACTTTAGTTAGCTGGGTGGGGTTTGCGGCGTAGACTTAATTAGGGACATAATTTGCTGTGATTTTAAGGGAAAAGCACGGGGGTATTGAAAAGATGTCACACGAAACAAGAAATGTACTTACTAATTATTAAATGCAAAATATGAATGGAATTCTTGAGTGACGACTTGGTCAATTTGTCTTAGCTAACAACCTAATGGCTCCGGGATTTTGACGTTTTGCTGCGGTAATTATCTAATGAGTGAAATCTAGGAAATATCGGTTGTTTTAACTGCGCGAACTTCGATATACATCCGCTTCCCTTAAGCTTTCCATGGTCGAATGTAGTAACGCTTACTCCAATGCAAATAGCTATCATTATTTAGCTTGTACAATGTCATCCATTAAAAAACGAATACAATAAAATCGGCTCACAATTTTCCTATGTTTTACCATTTGCACACAATAAATAGGAGAGGACTCGTTTGTCTAAAGTGCCATGCACTGTAGCGGATAATTCCGTGATACACAGTGATACACGCATGGATATTTTGTACTTCACCGAGGCACTATTTTCTATAAATGCAAGGAAACAGTGCGTATTATAGCAACAGAACCGCTAATGCTATTCCGATAATTTTTAAAACTTGTTATTTTAAATTATTACTGGGCCGAAATCTTAATTCCACGGCTTGCATTTACCATAATAGCCAATTGTGAAGGATTTCAACTGTTCTGTCGGTTGCATGTTTCACTACGTTTGTCTAAAATAGCAATCACTTAAGAACTCCAAAAGGATATCTCCTAACCTTTTGCTTTTATTTCATGATCTTATATTTCCTCAGGTAATTTTACCTACGGCATTTCTTTTGGGTTACAATTGCTTTGTGCTTATGGAAATTGTGTGCATTATATCGCTGTGAACATCCATGTATATAATCTCCACTCCGTTTGGTGGAATTAACGAAGAATTGGTCAAATATTTGGCGTTAAATCATTTTAATCCGTCCATACGTTCTGGTGAATTTTATTGCTCTGCCTAGTCATTAAATATCCACTGTGAAATCGGTTGACAATTAGACTGGACAAGCAAAAACAACTTGAATTGAACATAGTTTATGCGTAAAATTAAAATGAACGCCAAATCACATTGATTCTTAAAAACGATGTCTTGAGCTTCTACTACAAATGTCGTCCGAGATAACATGATTGCAATTGCGTTGTCCATCGCAAAACATTCGTAACCAAAACTGCGAATTTAATTCATTGGTTGGACAGATATTGAGAAGGTTTCAATTCTTCGCCTGCAACCGAAAGAGCAAACAGAATGGATTGAGGGGACAACGGTAGAATTTCAGTGTCAAGCAAAGTCGAATCCTCCGAATCCATCATTTAGGTGAGCAATGATTTAATGACGGAAAACTGGAGTTGCAATAGCAGCCTCTTACATATTTATTATCGTGCATACTCTCGTTAATCTCGTATATTAGCGGTAATGAAAAAATATAATATATTCTGACGGATGATAGAAAAAGCATAAAAATAAACTTTACCAAATGTTGCAAAGTATTTATTGTCAGAATATAACCATGTCTCTATGGAAAAAGCACATGGATGAACTTTATATTTCATCGAGGGTACATTCGTAGCACTTAACTGTGAACACAGACCTTTGTTGTATTTGCATTACACACCACCCGACTCACAGAAAAATAGCACGTTAAAGACGCCACTTCAAACAAGCGAAACTAAGTGACACATTTTCCTACTTGCGAACTTTAAGTACGATCAGCCTACAACCATATATATACACACATGTATATCTATTAATCTATTATTAGTATGTTGTTATTAATATGCTAATCATCCTCGGATAAATTTGTACGTAATTAAAATTCGCATTACTCAACGACCTTATTTTATTTCTCATAAATCTACTGTATTTAGGGTCATGCTCTGAGCTTATTCCAGATTAAAATTATTTCGTATATCTACTAGCATATATGCACATGTGCTATATGCTTTGTCAAGCAGCAATACTAAGGTTCCGAAATTGCTTAATCTATAGCACTTCTGCGTGGAAACTTTGACTCTGCACCCATTCAGCAAATCGGTATGAGGGATAAATTAATGCTACCATTCGGTGGTTACCGAAATTTTTAAGAAACAATCTGTGTTTATGTTGAATATCGCTCTAAGTCACTATTTGATTTAACACGCTTTGCTTTTGTTTTGGAAATTTGCTTTTTCAACGTAACCTGTGCCCACCACGAAATCTATTCTTACAGTTAAATTAGTCTATTTCTGATAGTCACGGTTTCTCTAGATTATGTACATGGATTTATGCTGTCCCCTTCCATGGCAGAAGTAGACATTATGTATATAATAAATGTTCGGTGGAAATGGCATAGTACCAAAATTTCGAAAGTTATGGTATATAAAATCTGCGCTTCTACGATTCTTATCTCTTATTTGCTGAGCTTACTGAGTTAATCTGACTAAACGCTCAGTGATTAAACTGTGTGACTCCTCGAAATCATCTATACAACTGAGCATTAAATAGAGCTGTTATATTTTATGTGTAAGGGTTATACATTGTCTCAATCTCATTGTTTTTAATGAATAGTGTATTAAGTGGAACGTCGCAATTGCTCACATACGTGTCTCTGTGTAGCTGCACATCAAATATGCACAATTTTTAAATGGTAGGCGGTTGATATGAAGAAGTTCAATGTGTACATGTTTCTAGCTCTGAACACAGCCGCAGCCAATTCTATTGAAAACCACTTTCGGATAGAAAGCAAAGATGCTAAATTGAAGTCTCGGATTTTCGTCTTCACCGTATATGTCAGTTATTTTGACAGTTGCAGAAATAAAATCCGCAACTCCAAATTAAGTATGAGTGCGTGGTGAACAACTCTGATAAAATAAATACGGGGAACGGTAGTTATTCTACAGTCGACAATTTAAGGTGCGTTCGTGGCTTGCAATTTTTCCACGAGGCAGGCTCGACGACACAGAATATCCATGAAATATTCATTGCGTGGCTACTTTAATTTAAACACACACCTTTTATTGATTACACACCCTCCAGCATTGTATGAGCAAAAATGCTTATGCCAGGATAAAATCTTCCCAATAAATGTTATTCTGATGAATACTGTATGACTTCGACATATTTTGACGTTGTTTTTATTTAGGCATCTAAATGAAAAATTCTCAGAAAAATATAACGGTTTAAGATAAAATCCAACTGGATGTTACTCTATATCCAGCCATGTTGGTCCTAACACTTGCGAGGTTGGCTTTGCACTTTACATAGTTTTTGGCAAATGTGCTGATTTAACTCTATATCAATAAGAAGTAACTGCATAAAATTGTATTGTGGAGCAAATGGTTTTTTTAACAAGCTCAAGGTAAATTCTCTCCTGAAGTAAAAATTTTCGCAAATGCCTTAAAACATACAACATTTGTTTTCTGACTGTATGTGCGTCACCTTCATTACGTTACGGCATCACTATTTTTAAACTATTAGTTACCCTCAGCTTTTTGGGAAACATATCTAACAGATGAATATCGATGAATGCATTTATTCCGTTACTCATCCTCACTGTCGATAACGACAACTTGGAATTTAATAACAATTTCCGGCGCCGCGAAAGTAAAAGCAAAATAATAAACAAAGATCTTGTTCCTCCATCTTGGTAATGCTTTGCTTACCGAGAGTTACTTTTAAACACAAACCACCAGTTTGCTCCGGCTTAACATACAGCCACCACAAAGCGAAGGTGTAGAGAATTGGTATGTCTTGTTGATCTCTACTTGGTGACGTCAGTAAATGTATGACGATAGATAAGCTGCTGGTGTGCCTGATCCCGTAGCCTGTCCCGGGCATGCATGTCACAACGTCTCCTATCAGATCCACTTTCGATATGTTCATCATCCGCCTAAAGATGAACGTGTTAAAATAGTCGTCTACGTAAAATCAACAATATTCATCCAGTACCAAAAATTGACAGGCTGCATACTAATGCATTAAAAACAGACGCTAGCGAAAACCTTATTTAGTCTTGCCAGGCGGATATGTTCTATCAATTGCTTGGTCAAGGAATTGGAGCTGATTTATGTTACGATGTTTCAAATTGGCTCCCCTCGAGAAACACGGTTACATGAACAGATTGATTGATCTAGTGTCGACCGTACCTAAAATACACACATTATTGAATGGAAGCTTTAAGAATGACGTTGTCGCACTGTGGACTATTAAGCCATCGTTCTCTGTCAAGAATATCACTTTCTGTGCTGCCAAATTCATCATCATCGGACGAATCCACAATATGCCCCTGCGTCCACTGAATAGAACTTAGCCTATCATGACTAGTTCCCACTTTGCATACGAATTATTACGAAACTGCTGAGCTAGTTACATATATAAAATCGATAAAACTTCAATTTCTCGAATGAAGTAGCGCGTTGTAAAAGTGGATCAGAAACAAGTGTGTGAAGCTTGTAAAAACAATAGACTGCGTGTTGATGCAGGCAGTAGCATCTACGAGGGGCGGACACTCAGTTAACACTGGTTATTGTGTTGATGACAACAAGGTGTTCAGGTTCCTCGGATTGACCATGATACAAAAATTAACAGGGCAACCAGCATTCCAAAAATGGTGTAACGTCGCGTATGTTACTCAGAGCATTGCCTTTTCTTTAAGATCGGGGAACCTGTTCCAGCAGCATTAGATCGTACTGTCCACCAAATATAAGCAGATTCGTCTGTAGTTTACTGCGCACCAAACTCGAGGTCGTAAATTGACTCTAAACTGAACTAGGTCTTTTAGTTTGCTTTCAGCAAGACCTCCACTTGCATCCTTGTCTCTAGAGAAATTAATATGCACGACATGGAAACGCCATCAACCGATGGTGCACAGTTTGAAACCTAGTTGCAAGAGCTAATTGCTAGTCACACTCTGTGCAAGTACATAAGCTCTCCCACCCGATTTCTAACTGCTAACAACCCGTCGAGATTTGATCTCGGGCTCTCTAAGGAAGCATTTATGATCGAATGTATATTTGCCAAAATGCCAACGAGTTCTAATAACAATGTTACTCTGTTATTTTACTATATCGCTTATGCGTAATATTTCGAAAATTGGGAAGATACAGTTTATACTTTCACACATTTAACGTGTCGCCTGCGGTTGTTATCAATATATTTAGAACCCTCCGAACCCTATGCCACCCTAGACGTTGCCTGAGAAATGTTCCCAAAAGCTTTTATTACACTGGTAGCGCAAACATCGGAAGATAATTCCTTCCAACCTAAAAGCAAATATAAGGTATTTATTGGGAGCGGAGCCCGTAAATATAGTTCATGAAGGCTTTGGCATGACGAGCTTAAAAAGACCGTCTGAAGGCCGAAACCTGGACTGCAAATCTGTTACATCGTAAATTCGGTGTGAAGTTGATCCGCCAGGACAAGTTTACGCATAGGCAGGAGTTAAGGAAGCGATACTGCACGAACTGCAAACTTCTGTACAGGCACGCTATGACTATCTTTAGGTGAAGAGCGGAAATCCAGCACTGATCACGGCTGACGGATGCACGCGGTCAGCAATGGAAGCAGTCGATCTCTTAATGCTTCATTACTCCTAGACGTTCCATCAGGTAACCAGCTCAAATATTCCCTTCGTATCTTTTACTACACTGTCGGGTCTATACAACATCACCTTCACTGAGTAACCTGTTTTGAAGAAGTAGTTTTGCTTGCGTATGCACATGTCTCTTGGATTTGACAACCTTCGACCGGAGGCTCTGCAGGCAATAGCTAGTTCTTTTGCAGAACGCTGGCAGTTCTCTATCAGCGATTTAACAAACAGAACTAAATTCCAGCATTATGAACGAGAGTGGTCATCATTGACATTTATACTGGAGGTAGCCGCAGTGACCTACCAATTGTCGCTCAATAACTACTTCCTGTAAAATCCAATGATACTTAATCATTCATCGTAGATGTACATATGCAATATATGGAAAGCCACAACTTAATAGCCCAAGAGTAACAAGGCTTCCGTCAAAAGCGTTCATATAATACTAACCTAGTAATTGCAGTAATAGCTGGCCAGAAGCCGTTAATGATGGAGCAGTAGTGCTGTTCTTCTCAAAAGCGTTTGATCAAGTGGACCATGGAATTCTCCTTCACAAACTTCGGAAATACGGCATTGCTTACTTAATCCTGGGTTGAATAATATATTTTCTACACAATCGTCGTTTGGATGTCATAGTCCGGGAAATTTCGGTACAACTGTTGTGTAGTGCGGTGTACCGTAAGGCTTAGTGTTTGAGCCTCGTATGTTCTTATTGTTCATTACCGGTTTGGTGCAATCATTTGCTTTGGATTTCTTATTTTTCGCGGATGACATCAATAGATGGCGAATGATCGGAGGACCGGACGACCGCGAAGAGCTCCAGTGCGACATTAACTCTGTAGAACTGGCCAGTTCATAATTTATCACCATCCTACGCAGAAGAATTTTGCACTGGCCAGTTATGCCATACACATGACTCTACGTTTATTACTTGGGGCAAACGGATTGCAGACCAGCTCCCAGGGACGTGACTTTAGTGTGCTCGTACAGAGTGACCTCAACTGTTTAAAGAGGCTGTGGTGGCTGCAAAAAGAGACAACCAGCACACAGTCATGCTGCGAAATGCATTAGAGATTTGACCCATCAATCTTCCCAATGATGCACAATTCCTACGTGCGCCCACACGTTAAATACGCTATCCAAGCTTGGCAAACTTGGTTGAAGCGAAACCTAGAGGCGTTAGAGGCACCTCAAGGAACAGCAGTAAAGAATGTAAAGAGCCTGCACCATCGCTCTTACCACCGAAGGCTGAAGTTGCTGAGAATTTTCAGCGGACGCTATCGAATGCTGCGTGGTGATCTCATATTAGTTTATCAGGTACTGAGTGACCCCAACCACGTATGTCGCCATTCGCTGAAACTTAGCCACAACACGCAGCTCAGGGGTAACTGCTTAAATTGAAGAACAATATAGACGTCTAGAGTGCTGACGGAATTACTTTTCCCTTTGGGTTTGGCAACCCTGGAACGCACTCCCAGATTCAGTGGTATCCTCTCCTACCTTGGACTTTGTCAAAAAACGGTTAGATATTGCTCTTAGCTCCCAGCATTTTCTTACCTAAACTCCTCTATTGTGGATTACGCCAAGCATGCTTTTCTATAGGATCTATGTACCAAATGAACCCAAATGAGCGACCATGTTTTTATTTCCTCAAGCCTTACATCAACGATCACTGCACCCGTGTATTTCTGAACGTTTACGCTCGATAGTATATTAACTTTTACACTGATTTTAAGTATCAAAATATTCATCTCGTTAGACGTTCGGTAGATGACCCAGATAAATTTTGACTTCATCATATTTCCCCCAACCATCCTACGAGACGTGTCAAGCGCTTGCCTTTATCCAGTGATAAATCATGGTTCATGGTTTATTGTTCATTGACATCGACCGCAATGACAAACGAAAACTCCGATGAGTGTGTGTTCGCCAGTGAAAGTGAGGATTAATTCATTAAAACACTTGGTTCTAATTCCAAAATGAATAGGATGAGCAGTGTAGGTGTGGTCAGTTGGCGATATCAAATGGTGATGCCTCAAAAATTGGCTGAGGTTTTAATATATGATCATCTATTACAGCTCAAATAACAGCTCTCAGCCCTCAAATTTCTGACTTCAGGCGGAACCTGGCAAAACAGTGGATCTAGCACTAATTATTCAAATTTAGGCTATTGTTAATTTACAGTCAGTTATAAATGACCATCTACTAATTCATCAGAAAACTGATAAGCGCTTCTATAAGATGACCGATGAATGCAGAGAAACGATTGCTGCCGCTGTTCTCGAATACTCGTAAAACTAGTGACCAAATGATTTTAAGGCAAGGTTAAAAATATTTATGACTTTTGTATTTGATGAGGTTACTAAATGTATTCGAGTGATAATACTTTTTGTCCCGGTATAATGGAGTCACAATTTGTTCCAAGTTATACTTCATAACACTTATTTTGGAGCCGGGTTTGCTAATTTCATCAGAGTAGAAAATAATTAGGCAACCGCTCCTTCTAAATTAAATACACGTATTACCTATAACCTTCTCAATTCCCCCAGTTTTCATAGAGTTATATTCTGACCGCTTAGTTCCTCAAGAATGCATTCCTTGGTATGCATCAACCATATAAAATACTAAACAGCTATTATTTAGTCTACCACAATGCAACAACCAACATCATTTTAAAATTTGTTCAACTGCTGCCATTTCGTCTCTTTTACTTTGACTTTGTTAACCTGCTGCTTTTCAGAGCATAAAGTTGTCCATCCTCTTGCTAAATTGTACCTATTTACCTTGGTTTTTCCATGGTTTGTATATGATTTGTATAATTTACTAAAGAAAATTGGGAGTTCAATGGATAAAAGACGAAGCCTTGTTTGTTATTCATTATATGTTGTAGTATAACACACTGGCAAACGAGGCCAAACTAACAGACATTTGAGTCAAATCGCCGCCAGGTTCTCGTTCCCCCACCCACTGTCAACTACTTTCGCGCGATATCCTTTAAATTGAACATTTGCGTGATTTTTTATATATATATATATATGCACTGGAATGTAAAGGAATTGTACGTTATAAATGCCTGAATGATTGCATCTTGTTTCAATTGAACATCCACTGTTTAGCCGATAACATAATGTATTAAATGTGCTTACTTAATGTGAGCTGATCGAGTTAGTCTGCAATAGTGTATAGTAATAACCGGTAAATGCGGCTTGTTACTGTGAGTAAGCCTTATTCTAATGCACTGATCTACATGGGTGCAGTAAGAAAGCTGTTACATCAGACTAAACATTTAGCTTTTCAGGTGACTTATTAGAAAGGCATTCATGAAACTAGCCATAATTTAAAATGAACATTGACTATGGCAAACTGAGAGGCTTTCATTCACGGAATGTAGGGTGGATGATGATAGCACTTCAGTTACGTTTGTTTGGCAGCTCCTGACGTGCCACATCGAAGGAGAGTGGGAAAGTGTTATTCCTTAGGGGAGCATTCAAAGCGTTGAACAGCACATATTTTACAAATAAAGTAAAAGTTATCGTACCATAGCAACAATCTACTGTATACTGTTGGAAACAGAAGTTACGACCATTTTACATCATTTTTTCAATGATGTCACAACAGACCACCGCTTTTGATGACCACAGAAGGATCTTAATTATTGATAACCCTTTTAACATAAAGCTTTCTAAGCGATAATAGAACGCAGGAGGAACTTTGTAAAAGAACAATGTATATCAAAGATAATAAAGCAATCACTTAAAATTTTACAGTGTTATGTTGAAGACGAAAATTTTAGTACATCATGAAAAGGTAACGGTTGACGAGGGACAATGTAACTTTCAGGTATGCGCACAGTATCAGTGTACCAGCGATAACAAAAAGCGAGGGAATGTTTCATGCCTGGGATATGAAAAATGTAGCAAATGTTCCAACGGCATTCTAACTTTCTAAAATATGTGACTATAATTAAATTATTATCTCTCAGTGAATCGTTGTGACCGATTCTCAATGTATATCGGTATAAGGGCAGCAGAAACTTGAGAATTTTTTACACCAATTTAAGATCACCCACGGAGAAATTATGCAGTACATTAAAAACTAGTTTCATTTATTCAAACACGTAATAGAGTGTAAAAGACCTAGACAATTCAGCCGTCCGCCACTGCGAATTGTCGAAAGCCATAGGGTCATGATTTTTCCGATAGAGCCGCACTTAATTGACTGGTTTTGCACGCTATCTGTAATCCTTTAGAAAATCAGCTATGATCAACTAGGCCAAACGCCTCCATATTAGTCGAACATGTTGCCTGGTTTATTTCACTGCTTCCCAAATATTTACTGAGAAATCGATATCTTATATATAGATATATTTAGGAAAACGGTGACTCGCAATTTCTGTCATTAATTGTGTGATGGTAAAATAGTTTTCAAAAGCCACGGATTGGAATTCTCCCCTTTACTTTTGTTTTTATATGACACAAGCAATGATTAAAAAATATGTAGACACGTATTAATTTTGAATGATAAAATTCAACACAGTCGTTTTTTTAAGAACTCAAGTTTCTGTGTATACCGTGCAATGCAGTTGATAACGGAATATCCTGATTATATCACGTTTTTCAAAAACCTATAGGTGGGCATTCGTAGACTTCGAAAGCATGCCAAACTCGATTGCAACTAACGGCACGCATGACATCTACCATCATCCTACCTACTTTGGAAAGAGGGATAAACCGATTCAGTCTTCTTCTACTGACCCAAGTATTCTGAACCTTCGCTTACATCGTGGTATGCACCGTGGTCGAGTCCGCTGTTGGGCAGGTGTTGGAGATGCGGCAGGACTGCCCTGGTCTGGGCTTCATGCATCGGAAAAGCAGTGGGTGTGGCACCGAGCAGATGAAGAAATCAACGTTCTATGTGAGTAAGATGTCAAAGATTTGTATAATCTGGCTTATTTTTTGGACTCAGATGTCCAATCTTAATATCGTTTACTAAACCCGTTAAACATACTTAAGTCGTTATTTTTCACAACTTTAAGGGACGAGTCCAATTGAATGCATGTTTGAAGCCCTAAAGTGTATGCACTATTTCTGCTAGCATCTTTTAGAATACATTAAATTTACATGAGTGATTTTGAGTAAACGTTTCAGTTTTATACATAAATTAATTTAGTATTTGCCGTTTGGTTTTAAAGAAAGCGAACAAAGTGAACGTGATGCTAATGTTCCCATATTATCACCCATTAGCTAATATTAAATCTGGATGTATTTTCAAAAATTTTGGTACTGCGGATCTTATATTACTCTTGGATATAAACACCTCTATACATGTATATACATGCATAGGAACTAAGATATATCAGCCCCCACCAAATCCGCAGCGAAAATATTTCTTCAATTTGTATACCGTTAGGGATCTTATAAATCTTTTGCGGCGAGCATGAGTTGATATTATCCAGTGCTATTCACAGTCATTTGCTGAAGATTTTTCTCGTGGATGTTTGAGGCCACAGTAAACGATGTCAGCTTTTGTATTAAACTAACCCAAAATCGACATAGCCCGTAGTTGACAAAACCATACATATTCAAATGAAGCGTGTGCCAAAGCAGCCTGCAAACACTAACCGATTTTGTTGGACAGTGTTGTCAGGGAATTACATTTCAAAAATTACTTTTGCTTCACATTATTAGTGATGAAAGTTTTTCTGTTACTGTCGCCTGTTTGGCTATGTCGCTTTGGTAATAAACTAGACTGATATATAACCGAACGAAATACGTGAAATTAGGGCTCCAGGAAGCAAGCCCCTGGTGACATGCAGAAAAATGCCAGAAAATTATAAACCTGCCACTACGCATATAGAGTGCATCGGCAGGTCTATATGCACTTCGATTCAACTTGACGATTATTACAATAGGCATCATCATTGAAACTATAAACATATAAATAATACGTACAGTTAAATAATAACATTGCATCCTATTGCTTTTGTATTTTGCATAAATCCAATGGGGATCTCTGAATTTTACCTGGAAAATTGCTGTGTAGTCTACCGAGCTGAGCTACCTATCCTTTATCAGGGACCAGATTGACAGCGTGTATAATTTGCTTTAGAAAGGGGTTATTTCTATTAGCTAATTAAATTTATTGCGAGACACCTCCACAAGCAGGTGGTATAGATAAAATTCATCCAGCTGTTTTTTTCCGCAACTACATTTGTATTGGGATGTTTCGTTTAATGTATTCAATTATGTAAACGCCGTCATTGCATGCCCTGCTGAAATAAAGTATTCTTAAAGTTTGTACATAGCAGAATAGGCACAGTTGAAGGTTAGATAGAAGCGATATCAAATAGATGAACACCTTCAATAATAATAGTTTTTGTTAGTACAGTACATCGATAAATACAATATAAAGCAGTTGGGAAATTTATTCGAACTACGTGGTTAGATCTGGTGAAAAAATCTAGTGTTTTTACTGCATTAACCTGTGGTCTTCCAGATTACAAATGCTTGGTTATGGCATAGCTGTTTAATTGGTCTCTGTTAGAAGTACGTGTTCCCAGGAGACTCTGCATGCTGAGTAGTAAAATTGTTCCTGTTAGCCGGAAACTCATGCATGATGGACATATATCGTCCATGGTAGTTGTTATTATCTACCTTTAGAGTCTAACATTTTCTGATGATCGCACATCCAAGGTCCTTAATACATTGCCAACCTATTGCGGTGAGGAACGAACGGTGTCACGCTTTAATCCATTGAAGTCGAGAATTTGCTCAACAGAATAAACCATGAGGACCACCTACACAACCTAATAATTTGTGCTGTTGATTGCTCATTAGACATTTGGGTCAGTGATTCCCTTAATAAAAGAGATTGAAGAGTACATGTAGAATATTATACAACCGCCTGATGTCATTCCCTCAACATCGCACTAAAAGACATAGCGCTTTGACACTAGTTTCCTGATCTACCTCAAAAATACTTCAGTTTCTCCCGTCGGCAGAAACTTTTTGAAACCGACGTGAATATCTGTAAAGTTGTCTATGTTGTACGACCCTGACAAGCTCTCCTTATAGTCCGTGGAGCTCAGTATGCCAGCAAAGCAAGTCAAGCTAAAAGTCAGATTGCGGAAGGATGGTGATGAGCAGGTACGCAATCTTACAAACCATTCACTTGATCTCACACCTTCCGTCTACGATCAGTTGATTCCCTTGTACTGCAATTTGAAGCTCCGAAATATAATGAATTCTCCATAATTAGAAGGAATATGCATATATATCGTATACGTATTAATTAGATAGCCGATCGGTTATTCACCTAACTTGCATGATCGAGTATACAATACTTTTAACTCCATAATATCCGCTCACCCGTGGCCACGTGCAATACGCAATAGCTTTCAACACGTAGCTACCAGACTTTTCCAGTTTCATAGAGATTCCATTACGAAGGCTGATATCGGGTGCTACGATTTTATCCCGGGTTCAAATCATCCATTTCAAGTTTGTTCCGCGAGAATTTACATCCGGATAACTTCCAATGTTAGAATCGTTTCTCTGCATACGACCAATCATTTTACGTGGAAATAAACGAAAGCTAATGTTGTAGGCCAGCTCACATTATGTATTTACAGTTGCCGTTAAAGAAATATTTGGAAAGTTTGACGCAGACTACTATTGAGGCAGCTGGGAATTCAAACTTTAAGCTAGGTAGATTCCAGATTATAGGGTTTTGTTAATATCTGTCGGCTACATATGACAATGGTTTTCCTTAATAGCATGTATTAGAGCGGGGACAAATCATAAAAAATCCTTTTATGCAA